ATGGAAGGATGGATGCATGCACGTCTGTGGTGAGACACCCCCTTCTGTGACTCTCAGAAAGTACTTCTCAGCCCTATGGGGGCCCTGAACCCCTTCCCACAACTGTGAAGGCCACGTGCTGCCTCTGTCCCGAGGAGCACATCCGCACACAGCTTCCAAGGCAGCTGTGGGGTAATGGCCTTCTTATGTATGAACCTGGGATCCAAAACTTCCAGTCCCACAAAGCCTCACCTTGTGCCCTGGTGTTTTGTAAAGACCTTTTGTGTCTCTGGGTTACATGGGAAACAACAAAGCAGCCAGGCTGATGTTTTGCTTTGTTTTGTTTTTATAGCATCCTTTTAACCTCCCGGTGGAATGTCTTATTTTGTTTTCCAGAAAAAAAGAGCCTCATTTTATGAGAACATCATTAAGGCCATGAGGCCTCAGCCAGAATACTTCGCCGTGGGATACTATGGACAGGGCTTTCCTTCTTTCCTGCGGGTGAGGAGCCTGAGGGTGGTCTCCAGGGCCAGGAGGCCATGGGGTCTGCAGGAGGGAAGTCCCCAAATGGCCAAGCACTTTAGCAGCCCACCCCACCCCACCCCTGCTTTCGCCTTCGCCTTCACCTTCACCCTGGGAGAGCAACCCCGGACCTGGGAAAGCCAAGCCGCTTCCAGAGCCCTGGCCTGGTCACCCTGCAGCCGCAGGCCCACAACCTTCTGCCAGGTCTTTCATAAATTCCTTCCCGGGTGGAGTGAGGAAGGAGCCGCAGATCCAGCCCCGCTGCTGCTCAGGCTGGAGACAGGTGTGGACTGAGCTGCGGGGTTGCTTATTTTATTTCCAGCCAGAGCTACTTGGAAAGCAAACAGCCTGCCAATAATACACTTAAGTGCCTTCGCACAGCGAAAACAGTGTAACTGACAAGGACAGTGTTTCTCTTCTTCCTCAAATATTTCTGTGATGTAGGGCGTTATTGTTTAACAAACAGAATAACTGTGAACTTCTGCAAAAAATACGTATTTTAGATCTGAAGATGGTTTGAACAAACATTCTTCTTCCCCTTCCCCTAATTAAAGAAACAGTGATAAAGCCTTTGTGTTTATTCCCAGCAGTGCCCAGTGAGTACAGTTGGTTCATCATTCACTGAGTGTCTCCTGTGTATCTGCTCTGTGTCGGGCACATGGGAGACCCTAGAGATACCCTGCTGTTACAGTCAGCCCTCTCCTGGACTCTTAGATGGTAGGAGTGAGTAGGGAGGTGCTGAACAAATAATAAAATTTAAACTATAGCCCAGAATGGTATCCTGTGCCCTGAGGCCCTGTGACTAGGGAGCTGTGTGCCCACAGCTTCTTATAAACCATTACAGATGTTCAGGCAAGAGACAATAGGCTGGACTCGGGAGGTGGTAGTGGTGAATATAGGGTGAAGTGGAAAGAGTCAAGTGATGGAGGAACAGAGGAACAGGGTTTGATGTTTGGTGGGCTGTGTGGCTGAAGAAGAGGAGGTGTCATGGATGGTCCCTGGATTTCTGACCTGCACAGTTGGAGGGGCCGTAGAGCCAGCTACTAGCACAGCAGAACTGGTAAAGAACTGAGATGTGGATGAAACTTATTCATTGAATAAGTATTTCCCAAACTCCTGCTGTGGGCCTTGCTCCAGTACAGCCACGGAGGCCAAGCCTAAGACGAACCCAAATCCTGGAAGGCAAGCTTATATTGTAACTTGGGGCAGCTGCAATTGAGATGAATCCGTGACACCTAGACAGTGATGGCCTGGAACGCTGCCTTGTCTGATGTCTATGTGCCAGTGAGTGTGGTGGGAAACACTGGCCAGGGAAGGTGAAGAGAGACAGGCGTTAAGAATGGAACCGCAGTTTTAAATCGAGTGAACAGAAAGTTAGCAACATTGGAGCAAACCTGAACGTGTCCACCATGTGATACTGTCAGAGGATGAGCAAGGATCCATCCACACGGTGAGACCAGCAGATTCGGAAACGATAAGGCTGGAAAAGCAGGAGCGCGAGGGCACTGAGAGACTGAGGCCAGAAGGGTGTGGTACCGGGCTGCAGAGGGGCTCTCAGGCCGTGATGAGGGCTATGACAGTTGGTCCTCCAACACAGATTAACCATTGTGGATCTGGAACTTAAAGGATAGTTCCAGAGTAAGGCAGAAGTTGGCGGGTTGTTCACTGTTGACAACACCACCGCTGTTGTTGAGGTTGCCCAGGGAGCAAACAGTGGAAGAGCAAGGGGTCTGGAAGGGAGCCTCATGTAGCTGCCAGACCTAGTTTCGCCATTAATCTAATTGAGACAAGGGCAGCCGAGTATGCCTCTTGTTAGACTGACTTCTTGGGTCACATGGAATAACGAATGTGTAGGAGCCAATCAGAAAGCTGATTCAGAAAATTCAAAATTTGAAATAGTCTGAACTCTTCAGTGTCCTGTCGCTGCTTGGAAAGCTTCCAGTGTTGAGCTTTCTGGATCATGGCTTTTGGATGAGGGCTGCTTGGCCTGGACCCTGTGCCCTAAGGCAGTGCCAGCGAAAGTGCTGGTCCACGAACTGATGACAGGAAAGACGGGCCGCTCACACGTGAGATGGGTAGAGATGGGCCTCAGGTCCACATCCCTCAGATCACTCAGTGACTGTGGCATACGTGACTGGTGATCAGGAGGGGGGAAGGCAGCTTCCACATTTATCTAAATTCCTCAGTTTTATTTATTTTTTAATGTATTTAGTACAGGGCCTACAGGGTCTCACTGCACCAATCGGACTCCTAGTGATCCTTCCTGTTTTCAGCCTCCCAAGCACTGGGATTACAGGCACGCACTGCCACGCCCAGTCTCTAAGTTCCTCAGTGTATTTTTGTTTTTTGTGGTACTGGGGATTGAACTCAGGACCCTGTGCATGCCAGGCAAGCGCTTATTCTACTGGGCTATCTCTCCCCGGCCCCTTAGTTCTCAGTTTTAAAGAAGGATTTCTGAAGGCCAGGTGTGGTGACCTATACCTGTAATCTCGTAAATAAATGTACTCCTTTCATCAAGAAATATCTTAGGGGCTGGGGAGATGGCTCAGTGGAATAAGCGCTTCCCTGGCAAGCGCAAGGGCCTGAGTTCAATCCCCAGTTCCACAAAAAAAAATAAAAATAAAAATAAAAAAATAAAAAAAAATCTTACTGTGAAAAATGCCAGCTAAATGAACTGTGCGCCTGCTGATAGCATAGATTTAAAGTAGGACACAATAGAGCTAGGGAGATAGCGCGGCAGTATAAACTCCTGCCTGGCAAGCATGAGGATCCAGGTTTGATCCCTTGTACTGCATGCTGTGCCTGCCCCAGAACCCCAGGTGTGCTGAGCGAGCCATCAAAACCAGGCATAGTGGCGCAAGCACTGGGGAAGCTAGAGCAGAGGGATCACTATGAATCTGAGCTGCGTAGCAAGACCCTCTACCAAATAAAAGATTTATAAGTAAACAATAAACTAAGATGCAAGCTTCCTATTTCCTCACGCATCTGTACGGACTGTTGGCAGGCTGGCTACTGTTGTGGGGCCAGGCTGTGGAGAACACTGTGCCAAGTAATTCTTATGAATATAAAGCAACTAAAATTTACTACCTCAGATCTTGTCAGATGTGGTGCTGCTCTTGGGCATGTCACAGAGTCTCAGCTGGAGGATTGAGCTGTGGCTGGGCATACAGTGCCTTCCTCGGTGTCCAGAACTTGTGGTGGCTTCCCTCTTCATGGTTACTGAGTTCCCTTGTCTCCTACCTGCAGAATAAAATCTTCATCTACCGGGGAAAGGAGTATGAACGGCGAGAGGACTTCAGCCTGCGGTTGCTGACTCAGTTCCCCAGTGCCGAGAAGATGACCAGTACCACACCCCCTGGGGAAGACATCAAGACGTCCCCGAAGCAGTGCATCCTTGCTATGAGAAAGTGACCTGGAGGTCTTTATCCTGGGCAGCCCGACTAAGCCAGGGAAGCCAAGGGCCGAGAGTGCTGCTCCACAGGCACTGTGTCCTGCGTTCTCAGGAGTCAGCCTCGCAGCCGTGGAAAACCTTGGGGGCCTTCGTTTCCTTAGAGAAGAGATGAGGAGTAAATCTTTCATAAGAAGGGATGCAATTTTTAGCCAGATGGGAACCTTAAGGAAAGAATAGATTCCCAGTTCTAAAAGAGTTTGGGATTCTTTTACAGTCTTTGAGACAATGCATAATTATCCCTTGGCATCCTCCGGGGATTTGGTTCCGGTCCCCTCAGTCCTCAGTTTGGCTTCTAAAAGCTACAGATGCTAAATTGTATAAAATGGTGTAGTATTTGAATGTAACCTCTGTAATCTTCCCTTGTACTTTTAATTATCTGTTCATTGTAGTATCTAGAATCCCTCACACATTGCTAGTGCTATGTAAATAGTGCTTGCACTGTATCATTTTCGGAGTAAGAATGAAGGAAAAAAGTCTTCGTGTACAGCACAGACACCGTGTAATAAGGGGTATTCCTGATCCTCAGCTGGTTGACTCAGATACAGCACCTGGCTGTGGGGGCCCCGCTGCATCCGCACCTGTGATGTGACAGGGGGACAAGCTATTTCTGAGACTCATCCTTAGGTCAGAGAAGCCCATGCCCATGCTGAAGCCTGACTTGGTGGCCTCCCAGCCTTTGCTGTTCGGTTTTAATGATTCTGACCCTCCAGAGTCCTCCTCTGCCCAAGGGGAATGATGATAATATTCATCTTGCAGAGTTTTGTGGACACTGAGTGACAACAAATTCAGAACACCTAGTACAGTCCCCAGCAAGGCACTTGATGAACAGATGGTGCCAAAGACAAAAGCAGTCTCCGTGCCCTAGGCTCTGAAGTGTGGCTATTTCAGGAGGGCACTTTTCTAAAAGATGTTACTTCAAGCCATTTCTAGCCACCTATTTCCTGATACTTCATGGATGCTTATTTTTGTGTGACAAGATGTGCCAGGCGCCTGGCCACAAGCAATGTCCTAATCATAATCACTTCAGCCGTTTAGGCGACACCTCTGGGATCCCCATTTTCAGGGTGGTTACGGGGCTGTTCAGGGCTAGTGCTGTTTTAGCCAACGCTCGCGAGCAGCAGGGAGACCGATGTCACAGCTGCCAGCTGGGCTGTTTCCTTAACAAGGGCCCAGACCTGCAGTGCTTCACTGTGAAGCCCGTGATGAGCCTGCCCCCCAGCTACAAGGACAAGCCAGTGCCCGAGCAGATCTTGAAGTAAGTGGTTCTTTTTTTCTTAATAGAAATGTATCTCTTATATCCTCCCTTCAGACTCTCTCTTACATCAGAAGCAAAGCTGTGAATGTGTTTCAGTTTGGAAGACCCGTGCCTCATCTATTGTGAGTGCGAGAGCAGAGCTTGGTGATTCAAGAGGATGTGGGTTTTGTTGTTTAGACCAAAGAGTCAGGAATTGTGCCCTCACGGGTCAGATCCCTTAGCTCTCACTCCCACTCAGAAGCATCGCTGGGACTGGATGGTTCTGGCAGTTGGAGCTGAACCTCATCTTTTGAGAAGCTAGTGTCCTACAGAGACTGAGTCGTTAAAAAATGTAGGGATGATACCTTACTTGCTAACATTGTGAGCTGTGAAATAAACTCACAAATAATAAAGATAAGATGATGAATTGAGCCAGCAAGGTAGCACAGTGGACTAACTTAGGCAGGCGCAGGGAATGGGTTCGATCCCCAGTACCACATGCCATGCAGGCCCCACTCTTGGGTGTGCGAGCTAGCAACGGAGTCCAGGTGTAGTGGGTAATCCTGGCACTGGGGAGGCTGAAAACAGGAAGATCACTGCCAGTCTGGGCTGCGTAGTGAGACCCTGTGCCAAATACAGAAAAATAAGGTCAGCATATTCATCACCACTCATGCGGTCAGCGTGGGCCCTGGTGGCTGGGCGAGTGTTGGGGCTGAACGTCGGCACCAGGGGGCTCTGGTGTCATGGAATCCGGAGTCAGAAGGGAAAGTGTAGCATGGCTTCTCCCTCCTTCCCCAGCTACTACAGGGCCAACGAAGTGCAGCAGTTCAGCTACTCCCGGCCATTCCGGAAGGGAGAAAAGGATCCAGACAACGAATTTGCTGTGAGTCCACAAATTACATCTTTCACACGGAGGTACAGTGGTGCTGGAAGCTCCCTTTAGAAAGGACGACACCCCTGAGAAGAGGCGTGGCTGCCAAACGCCTGGACAGCAGGTCTCAGTTGGGGGCCTCTAGACCATAAGACTGGAGACTCGGCCCTGCTGTTCACGTGAACGTGGGCAGGTCACACTCCAGGCCTCTATTTTCCATCATTCGGACTGGGAGGGCCAAGTAAATAATCCTAGTCAGTCTCAAACATCCAGAATCCCTACGCTTAGAAGTAATTGTGGCCTGTTCCCCAGGGAGGCATGCAGGAAGGGACTCACATTTAACTGCCCCCTGTGTGTGGGGGGCGAGTGGGTTGTGGCTTGTCCTAGAGCTGAGCAACGTTTTATGTTCCTTCTCCTGACAGAACATGTGGATTGAACGGACCATGTTTACGACGGCCTATAGCTTTCCTGGGATTCTCAAGTGGTTCGAAGTCAAACAGATTTCAACAGTGAGTCATTTGGAATTGGAACATAGTGAGGGAAAAGCCACTTTCTGCCTGCAAGTATAATAACAGTCTTTGTGAAATTCCCTTTGCAGTTTGCACCAGTGGCCAGCTTTAGTTTTCAAAGAGAAATAAAAGACGTGATTGTAGGACAGGGCTGCTTTGTAAAACTGATGTTCCAACACCACCCCTAAAGGTTACTTGCAGTGAATAACTCTTTTATGGCCTGAGGAGCATTGTCTCCTCCCTGAGCCAGCAGCGCCCAGAAACATTTCTGGAATGCCTCTTGGGAGTTTCCTGGCCACCACGCCTCCCCTGCCAGAGCCTCTTCTACTCTCAGCAGATTACCTCCCCTGCCGCCCTCACTCTTTCCCCTTACCACTGCTTCAAGCTGCCCATTAACTTCTTATTTTTATTTTTATTTTTGATACCAGGGATCAAACTTGGGACCTTGCACTTGCCCGGCAGGCACTTATGCTGCTGGGTTATCTCTCCAGCACTTAACTTTTTAAATACTTATTTGAACGGTGTTATCTCCAGCAGCCTCCTTAACTGTGGCCCCCTTTCTCGTCTCTGCTCTACCTCTGGTTGGTTCCCTGAAGCCCCCTGTAGTCCCCCAGAGACTCCCTGCTCTGGCCCCTCAGGCCCCTGTTCCTCACTGAGTCATAGTGGAGTCCCATTAATGGGGCACTCTTGTGGCTCCCTGGTGACTATGGTGCAGAGCCCAGACTTCTTCCCACCCTTGGCCTTTGTGACGCAGCTGTCTGTCCTCCATCCGTCTCCTTCCTTCTACAGGCTGTTAGAACTAAAGCGAGAGCTCTGTGCCCATTCAGTCCTTCGGGATCCTGGGTCTTCTGCCTGAAGGGTACTCTCAACACAGCTGAAAGCACAGCTAATTCCCAGCAGGGCCCAGTGCGCCACCCCCTCTTCCACAGCACCATGCTGGAGCCCTGCAACGCTGTTAGATGCCTTCTGTCTCTCCTCTTGGCACCTGGATGCCTTTCGACCTATGCTGTTTGCATGTCTTCAGTCCCCAGTAAACCAGAAGCTTCTCCCAACCGACTCTCCCTGCCGGCAGGTTGCCCTCCACAGATTCACACCTAAAGGTTTAACCAAATTGGTCACACACTTGTAGTTAGGTCTAAGAGGGTTGCGTCTGCATTGAGCACATACAGACCTTTTCTTGCCTTTATCCCCTGAACAATAATACAGTCTTGTATTTCCTGTGTAATTTACAGTACAACATGGCTTTTATATTGCATTGTGGATTATAACATAGGAACCTAAAGAAAATTTAAAGTATACAGGAGGATGTAGGTAATTGTATGCAAGCACAGTGACATTGCTGTCTGGGGCCTGAATGGCCACAGACTTGGTTATCCTCAGAGGCCCTAGACCTGCAGAGAACGGGGGGTGATTGTATGGATGACTGCAGGTATGAATCACTAGTAACTGTGGAGTATAGCGTGGCACTTACTATGGCTCCTCAAGAAATGTTTTGTGGACTGGGAACGTGGCTCAGTAGCAGAATTCTTGCCTAGCATGTGCAAGGCCCTGGTTCCATCCCAAGCTATGCAAGAAAAAGGACAAATCTGAGGCTTGCTGTGTCCCCCAGCACATTCTTAGATCAATCTTTGTTCAAGCGTGGATGTTGTTTCTGGACAGAGACGTTTAATGAAGTCTGAAGTAGGTGGTTGTGTGGCTGATCGTGGGTTTTCCTAGAAACCTGGATGGGAACACCCCTTCATAGTAGGAGCTCCCACTGAGTGTGTAATGTATTTAATTTTGTTTTCTTCTAAAACTCAGACTGAATTATCATCCATCCTGTCGTTCCTGACTTCTGTTGGCTTCCGAGCTGCATACAATTCCTTACATGTAATGTGAGGAGAGGGCTTCCCAGATCGCTTGCCTTTTCACACAGAGGTGGCATCAAACCCTTGTAAGGGGACATTTTTGTTGGCACAGAAGTCTCTGATCTGACACTCTGCTCTTGTGTCGTCACTCATTTCAGAAACCTGAGAATGCTTTCCTTGAGAATGCTTGCTCCGCTCGTTTCTCCAGTGCTCTGTGGATGCTTTGCTTGAAGGAATAGTGGTTAATTATCTCCAGTGTTGAAGTCATCACCTTATCTCCTGAGGAAATTTTAACCAGTGTACTGGTTTTCTTATCAACACCACTGCAAAAGCATACAGCATCCTAATAGACCTAATCTTGGCCAGCAAAACTTCATTCACCCTCCTGCAGCTCCTGGGCTCTTGCCACCCCACGAGGGTGTCCTTAAGCTTGTTTGCCCTCTCTGCTGTGCTCACATAGGTCGCCTCCCTTGTGCCCTACCCCACAGGAGGAGATCAGCCCTTTGGAGAATGCCATCGAGACCATGGAGCTGACCAATGAGCGCATCAGCAACTGCGTGCAACAGCACGCCTGGGACCGTTCCCTGTCCGTGCATCCCCTCTCCATGCTGCTCAGCGGCATTGTGGACCCAGCTGTCATGGGGGGGTTCTCCAACTACGAAAAGGTGGGTGAGTCCCGAATCCCACGCATCTCAGGCCTCCCTCTCTGCCATTAGGCAGCTAGGGAACTTTTTTCCAACAATCTCCCTCATTTTTCACTCTCCTGTCTATGAATAGGTACGTGAAACTAGCAAAAATATTATCCCTGACCATAAATTCGTGGGAGAGCAGCAGTAACCCAGCCAGGGGTCAGCCACTGCCCCATAAAGCATCAGACAGAGAGCTCCAGCCCCAGGTGCTTCTGCTCCAGGCACCTGCTCTTTCTCTCCTCTAAGAGCAGTCAGCTATCAGATGAACCCCAGAATTCAGGATGTTCTGGAAGAGAAACTACAGCTGCGGGGAAGCCAGAGATACACTATTTAGAATGAGCTTAGAATTCTTGTGCAGGCTTTTTGTGCAGTGAGACAAGGGATGGGCTTGGATCTACAATGCATGAAATTAGCCCAACTAAGTGGTGTATCTGTTACTCTGAAAAAGTGTGAAAGATGGACTAGCTACATTTAATCCATTGCGTAGGCCTTGGATGTAGCACCATTTCAAACGAAGGTCATGCATTCAATACATTTATGGTTTATGGGCATTCTGTGAACAATTAACACTAGGAAAAAATTAAAAGTGGTTGAGTACAATTAAAAGAGGCAGGATTCTGAATTGTTCTGGCATGTTTGTGGTGGTTTAATACTTCCGGAGTCCTCTTCTTGAATATAAATAAATGTTAGGGAAGTAAATTCCTTGCTGTAGGCTAGAGAGAGGCTGGAAAGAAAAGGCATCGGGATGGGTAATAGTGATGCATGACTGCTGAGCTTGCTTCTGTTCCTCTCTGATGTCTTGCAAGAGCAAGGGCTTTGCGGTCTTTCACTCTGAGGGATTTGCACCCACCACTCAGCTCTGAGATTCTGTCTTCACCTCCCTGAGCACCGGGTACCTGCCAACCAGGAAAATGCCCACCTTGCAGGTCTGGCCTGAGGATTAAGGGTGCCACGCCTCTATTCTGTCCTGCTGTACTTGATGACAGGGATATGTCCTGAGGAATGTACCATCGAGCTGTTTCATCTTTAGCAAACTTCATAGGCTGTTCTTACACAAACTAAGTCATGGCGAGGTAATCAGGTCTTACAGAAACCCCATCGTTCACTGGGTCAGTTGTTAACCGAGACCAACTGCATTATGCAGGGCAAGACCACGTGATGGATGTCCTCCGGGCGTGGGGTCAGGGCAGTTTCCTTCCTGCTCTCTCTGTGCGCTGGGAGGAGAGTGGGTCATGTGGATGCTCTCCGTGGGTGACGCCGCCATGCTCTGTGGCCGCTACTGTGGGAACAGTCTTTTATCTCTTTTCTCTGACATTTTAGCCTTCTGTAGTCTTACTGTACTCAGCAATTGGGAAACACTCACCACCAGAAATAGCAATTTCTGCTATTCTGGTTATTCATTTTCAGTTTTAATAACCATTTCCAGTGTTATCCTGGAAGTCAGTACAGAAATAGGGTCCAGAATATGTTGCTTTACTACCGTAGTGCTTTGAGTATGTATTTTTTTTTCTTTTCATATATTTTTTCTTAGTATTAATTGCTCACGGAATGCCCCTCAACCGTAAATTCTCATGTGGTGCAGATATCTATAAATAATTTTATAAGAAGTTTTTTCAATGTAACAATCATCTACTTAAAAAAATGTTTTAAAAATGTGGCCAGGGATATAGCTCAGTGACTCAGCACCTGCCTGGCAAACGCAAAGTCCTGAATTAGATTCCTGGTACCAAAAAAAAAACAAAAACAAAAACAAAAACAAAAACATGAGGTATTCAGAGTGGTACATGCAGGGGGGCTGAGACAGGAGGATGTAGGGTTGGAGCACAGCTTGGACAACTTATCAACTTAATGAGACCCCATCTCAAAATAAAAAAAAATATTAAGAAAGGGCTGTGGTGATGAGTTACTGGATTCAACCTCCAGTACCAAAGCAGAAGCAAGTGGAAGCAGAGAGAGAGGGGTCAGCCGATCATTCAGTCAGTCACAGGAGATCAAGATGGCCAAAATGTATAAATAAGTAAGTTTCAATTCCTTTTTTTCTTTTAATAATTTTATTGAGAAACAAATAGCAATGAGACAGTTTCAAAACTGATTAGTAGGAACGTTTCAATAATTCATTGCATATTGTTATCTTCTTAGTGGATATTCATAGTACACAATGCTGACATGATATCCTACCCAAACGCTATTAGTACAAATCTTTCTTCTCATTGAATTAAGAGAAAGTAGCTCTTTATCTGTCCTATTTTGTATATACAGATACAAAATGGTCATTCATTTGTATCTCCTTTTTTTGTTTAATTTTGTCAGAGAAGGGTATTCCCTTGTCACTTAAATATTGTAAGTGCATGAATTCAGCAAATAATCCAATATAGTCCAGTAGTCCATAATAGTGGGTCATCCGCAGGACTGGCAATGTCAGAAGTTGTTGACCTGAGCCCTTTACAGCCCAGCATACCAACGTGGCTTCACCCCTTGTACTTTGTTTTTTTACCTTTCTGCTGGATGGTTAAGACCAAGATAAAGCAAGACTTATATAACAAGAAATGTAACTTTTGTATCTGATAAGGTCAGTCAAGTCCCCTCAGGATTTATCCTGAAACCCTGTACTGCAGTTTGTAGAGCCTTTGTCAGTGTCAGCCATGTGGATGAGTCACGGCCATTGCTTGGCCAATTTACTCTCTGTGAAAGCCTGAGAGAATGTTTTCTCTCCATGTGACTCTCCTTAGGCACACTCTACATCATCGATCACATTCCTCTGTGGTCCCATAATCTCCTTGATCAGAAAATTTGGGACACAACTGAGTTACATAATGTTACAGTATAGGTTCTCCTGTGTCTTCTTCACTGACCTTGAAAGGCTAGGGCCAAAATGTTGGCTGTTCTTGCAGTCCTTCTTTTTCTCTATGGTCTGCGAACTTAGGTTGTTAACCCTCCAGAATAGAAATTTATTATTACACTACAACATATGCAGTTGGGTTTAACCTAACTATCTGTCTGAATATCAAACGTTTTAGGCATAACATGGAACAGCTGTTTTCCATCAAGTTTCAAGTCCTTTGGCTGAAAGTCTTAATTTATACTTTTAATCAGTGCATATGACTGTACTTTTCTAAATATGAGGAAAAAGCTTATTAGTCCCCACAACCCATGGCCTTCAGTTAGAGAACCCCTTGTTACAGACCTGATACAGTGAACTGCTCTAAACCAGCCCTTTATTAATGCTTCAGTGATAACACGGGCTGTTGGCAGGAAATCGTCCGCTGTTCCTCGTGTTGCTGGGCAGCCCCGCTAGATAACGACCATCAGTGCTCTCCGCTCGGGATGGCTTGACTCAACCATGGGCCTGGTACATGTTAGCATTTCTCAAATGGCTTTAGCTTTCAGAAATTGAAACCCCGTGGATTTGAAAGCTGTGCATACATGAAAGCCAGAGTAAATCGTGCTTTCCATTTATACTGCGATTCCCTGTAATTACAGATCTGGCTTACGTGGGCCTTGCTCACATACACTAATGCTTCTTCCTTTTGCTGATAATCTAGATGCATGTATTTATTATTTGGTTAGTTTTCCAGGGCTGCCATAACGAAGGTTGTAGGTGATGGAGAGCAACAGAAATGTGCTCTTTCCCCTTTCTGGAAGCCAAAACTCTGAAATCCAGGTGTCAGCAGGGTTGCTTTCTTTAAAGGGCTGTCAAGGAGCGTCCGGTCCATACCTACCCGCTGGCTGCTTTGTTGACATGCTCTAGCTTGGAGGTGTCTGTTGTCACTTTATGCCCCTGACACGGCATTCTCTATGTGCAGGTGTCTGCAGATTTCCCTTTTTCATGAGGATGTCAGCTATGTCAGAGTAGGGCCCGCTCAACCCCAAGTCTGATCACCGCCTCCTAACTTGCACATCTGCGGCAGTGTGATTTCGAAAGGAAGTCACATTGTGAGGTCCCAGGGATGGGCATCAGCACATGAATTTTGGGGAATGGGGAAAGAGGACTCAGTTTCAGCCCACAAAAGTTTGTTCATACTCAGTTTGCCATGTAAAATGGGTGATCACTTTTATAAATCTATCGTGTTTCATATACTGGGGTTTTGCTTTTGCAGAAGTAGAGAAAAAGGGAATGTGAATGCTGGTCTCGAATGCATTTTCAGGCCGGGCCCAGTTGCAGGCGCCTCAGCACTGTGGAGGTGGAGGCAGGAGGATTTACAAATTTGAGTCCTTCCCAGGCAAATTATGGAGAATCTGCCTTGAAAAGGTTGTGGAGGTGGGCGAGCCGTAGCTTCATGCAAAGGCCGTGGGTTTTTTGTTTTTTTTTTTTTTCCCAGCACTCCCTAAAAAAGCCTCTTTAGAAATGAAGATTAAGGTCCCAGGAGAAAGCAGGGAACTCCTGCCTGGTCTGGATGCTGTAGATGTCTTTTCCTGACGATGCCTGTCCTTAAACATTCACCGAGGTACAGCCTGCATTTGGAAGTTAGGGTTAGGGCACATTTCCCTGTTCCACGGCCTTTGGTGGTGGCCTCTGCTTAGTGTAAACAGGCTGCTAACTTGAAATAGTGAGACCAGGCAGCCTGCGATGACCTCGGAACATCCTGGTTGGATCTCACTGCTTGCAGAATAGCCTCTGGCAGGTGATTAGTAAAGTGTGAACACCTTACTTTCACTTATTACCAGGGAAAAATGTGATACAGAGGAAGTCAGGAAAGAACAGAAAAACTATCAGCCTCACCTCCTGCCTGTTCACAGTGTGGGTTTTATTTTTCCCCTAATAATATCTATACACTTAAATGACTATTAAGTTTTAGATTCTGTTCTCTGATCTGTGTGTGTGTGTGTGTGTGTGTGTGTGTGTGTGTGTTAGGGAAGGGTCTACAGGGTGTTCAGGGTCTCACTACTAGATTGGATTCGTAGTAATCCGCCTGTTTACAGCCTCCCAAGAGGTGGGATTACAGGCCTGTGCCACCACGCCCAGGGTCAGTTGCTTTCTCAGCATGCCCGGGGGCAAAGCCGGCATGACAGTCCCGGGAAAACCCTGGCCCTGCTATTTGACCTGCCTCTGGTCTCTTCATCCTTTGGGAACACTGTTTTTTTTTAATGAATGATGTTTTGCTTTGCTGATGATGATTTTTTGATTAGTGAGTGTGTGAGCATGGGGGTTGTTGAGAATGAGCTCTCGCAGGAATTTGCCTGATGTCAGAAAGACTGCAAAATAGGATGTATTTTTTTTTTAATTCTGCACTGTGGGATAGTCATCCCAGGAAATGAATGCGTTTATGGTTAGACTTTGATGATTTATTGGAAGATGGTCTTCTCCTCTCTGTTAGGGCCCAGCACACAGATGGGGACGTCCTGTAATCAGTGCTCGTGCATGTTGTGTTTTTAGGCTTTCTTTACAGAAAAGTATCTACAAGAGCATCCCGAGGACCAAGAGAAGGTGGAGCTACTGAAGAGGCTGATAGCCTTACAGGTAAGTGGCCAGGGACGCATGCAGTTGGCCATGGCCCTGCAGGGGCAGCTGCAGCGCTGGCTCCACGCTGCTCTCCAGGGCTTCCGTCTTCATGGCCACTTCTGTGGAACTGCTACCTATCTGTGTGTGTGTTTGACAAAGAGGCTAAAGAATGGCATTGAATGGAACCACACCATTTACAAGTGTGTCTTCGCAGAGCTGAGTTCAAACCCCATAAGTTGCTTTCCTGGCTTGGATGCCCAGCTAAGAGAGATTAGCCTCATTTTCTTTCTCATTGTTTCAGTGGACAACAGTAGAAAATTGAGCCATCAAGTCCAGTCTAGGGCCCAAACCTGTCTGCATCTATCCACAGACATGCCTAGGCCCAGATGGATTTGCCTGCTCCTTCAGCTCCTCCCAAGTTTGGGGCTTTCTTGTGTTCTTGGGGCCACACACTAGATCACTGAGCAAAGCACCAGCAGTTCCCAAGCTCTCCACTGAGAAATGAATTCTCACTCACAGCGCTGTCTACCACTTAACACATGCTGCCCCATCCCTGCAGTGCCCCAAATCTAAAGCATTCCTCTTCCTAACCTATACCTCATTCCTTTTATGCCCTTTCTTCTAGATGCCTCTGCTCACGGAAGGGATCCGAATCCACGGGGAGAAGCTGACCGAGCAGCTCAGGCCCCTACATGACCGCTTGTCTCTGTGCTTCCGGGAACTCAAGGAGAAAGTAGAAAAGCTCTACGGGGTCATCACATTGGTAGGTTTTGTCTAAATAGCCCTCTGGGTTTTTTCCTGTCTTCTATGCCATTGATCAGGTTTTCAGATGCCAAGTGAGTCAGAATAGTTTGGGTTAAGAATGAAAATATGGGCAGGGAACGGAGCACCTGTTCTGCATTTGAAGACCCCAAACCACCCATGGGCTAGATGGAGGTTCTCAGAGTGGAATGTCCATCCTGCTCGTGCAGTTTGTGAAAACACAGATCCCCAGCCCTTACTCCCAGAGTCGCTAATCCCACTGACCCACATGGGACCCAAGTATCTACCTTTCTGACAAGCTTCCAGGTGACACTGAGGTCACCAGGGTGGCTGCAGCACTTTGAGAACCACGAGACTTGCAGTTGAGTTTTTCTTCATCCCAGGCACTGGCCATTCCTATATTTTAGTTTTTCCAAATCTTTCCTATTTCATTCAGTTTTCAGCCTTCACACCTTTTAAAGGGGAAAACAGTTGTAAACTACATTTTATAACACATATGGCTGATTTCATGATTTTGCTGCCAGTCTTAACACAGCTCTGTAGCTGTAATTTTCCTTTCCTTTGCTGAGGAGTTTGGCTGAGGGCTGCATGTGCTAACTATTCTCCCTCCCAGCGGGTGATTGGATTGTTGGTCCCAGATTGGATTGTGCTGCTCTTTGGTCCTGGAGTTTGCCCTGCTGTCTTTAGCAATCTTATTCCTGAGCCTCTGGTTTCCCAAGTCCTCCCTCAGATCCTCTGCAGTTACCTGCGGGTGACCCTCTCCTTCAGTCACCTGAGTGCTCTGTCCTGCTTTCTTCCTACAAATTTGTTTCCTCACTTGCTGCTAGCTCTGGGTTTGTTGACAAGGTTGGCTGTGTTATCCTTGACACTGATAGGATTTTCAGTTGCCAAATGAGACAGAATAGCTTAGGTGTGGCACGAGACTACATGCGGACAGGAGATATTTCTTCCTGGAAAATGAGAATCTGGCTCATCCGTGTCATGTTGTTGTCTTGTGCAGACAAGTTGAGACAGCAGGCCTAACCCTTTGCCCAGCTAAATGCAGGCATAATCAGAAGCAGGCCAGCCCTAGCAAGTACATTGACCAGTGTCCTGTTGGAGTGACTCCATGGTGACACTTCTCATGAAAGTGATCAAGGTCACCAGGTTCAGCTACTGGTCCACAGCTTTCCTTAGACCAGAGTATCATTAGAACAAGAGAAACAGTTTGCCTGCCCCGGATCACACGGGCTGAGTTCCAGGCCAGCTCACCCAGAAGGATCGTGTGTTTTTCAGCCGCCCAACTTTCCCGAGAAGAAGCAGAGCAGCACAGGGTCCCTGGTGCTGCCCTACATCATGTCCTCTACGCTGCGGAGGTTGTCCGTGACCTCGGTGACTTCCTCGGTGGCTTCCACCTCCTCCAACTCGTCTGACAATGCTCCTTCTAGGCCAGGGTCTGATGGGTAAGCTGAGATTTCTACTCCCTGTTGTGGATGTGAGACCACGCTACATTTGTCTTTGGTCCCCAGAGTAAGACTTGGTCCACATGGACACATGGGTCCTCTGAGGAAACTGATTTCAGAGCATGTGGGTATTAGCCTCTGGGTCATCTCAGCTTTTAAAACTAATTTTATAATTTATGTTATGAAGTTGTAATACATCACATAGTATGAAATCCCAAAGTATTCTTAAGCAGATTTCCCTGCGACTAGACCAATTCCCACTGGTTACCCTTTCCCTTGCTACCAAACCATTTTACCAGTCT